TGCAAATTAGCCATAGCCTTAGTCTTCGGAGCTCTCACTGAACCTCCATAGGAGTAGGAGTAATTAACGTAGCTTGTTCCCTAAAAACCATCAAAAACATCAAACACCCTCGTTCGAAGATTGTTCGGAGAGGAGTGAACCGTGTTTAGAATCGTTATTCAAGAAGTCGAAGGTGCAATCATTGTGTTCAAACACAAGTTTTTCCTCGACGGAAAACAGTCACTCACGTAATGGACAAGAAAATCAACAACATATATAGTTCCTCTTGAAAAACTCCAATTAATAGATAGATACTGATGTATGGTTGTAATATTAATTTAACATGAATGTGAGTGATGAAATTATTGAATCAGATGAAGTGTCACAACAAACTTTATTTGCAAGAGTTACCTTTTTTAACCCAACTCTCAAAATAAATAAAAATAATATAAGATTGGGTTAACATCTGGATCAAACTTTATCCATATAATCAATTTTGATCTGTGGTTTCAGAAATTGCTACTTTAGCCTCAACTATACACTATATAGACTTAATTGACCGGACGTATGGTTTGACCGTTAGTCAACAGTCCATTTCACTTTCATGTTAGCACCAAAATTTTAAAAAATTCAAATTACAATTTTCATTATTATTTCCCCTGCCATTCCACGTCAGCACTTAAGTGGTGAATTTTTCGGCCTCTTTGTCAGCCTAGTCAGCACTCATGTTTGCCACGTCATAAAAAATCTACGACATTAACAGAGTCTGACGGAGAATAACGGTCGGTAACTAATGATGAAACGATTCGTACAGTTAGTAACTAATATGAAAGAAAAGTAATTAGGGTGACAAACGTGAAAGATTTATATAGTTGGAATGACCGAACATGTAATTTAAATGTTATTCCAAATCTAAATCACTAATTCTATTATAAACCCTAAATATCAATAGTGCTTAGACTGCAACTGTTTAGCGAGAGGTTCATCAAATGGACTGTCCCAATCATTATTCTACAACTTCCTAGCTAATGCTTCGTTAAGAGGAATTGAGGGTTTTACTAGAGAAACAATGTAGTCAAAGATGTTGATGATTTTACACTTTTAGATGACCAAAATGTTTCTACGTAAAATTGTGCATTTTACTTATAATTGTAGTCAAAATCTACGCGTTAAAGGTTGAAAGCTTATATTTTTACGTCTCTAAACCACCAAAACCCTTCTACGTAGAATCGTTATTTTGATTGCACAGGCCCACCATACAATGTGCTTTAAATCAACTGTTAATATTGGGGGCCGTGGAAATTCGAACACACGACCACTTGGCCAAACCAGCTCTGATACCATGAAAAATTAGATAACGAGGAAGGAAAAAGAACACGAAAAAAGAGTTTACGTGGTATCCTCATCGATTGATTGATCGAGAATTCGAGACTAATCCACGGTGAGCTCGAAAGATCTCACAGCTGATCTCTTATTAGAATTACATCTTGACGGCTTGCTTACGGCAGGTTCGTAGCTAAGTTTTATATAGCGATAGGCTAGGGTTAAAACCCTAACGAGAAGGGTCGAGTAAAACCAAGTATCCGTACTTGCTACAACCCGGACAAGGCCAAACAAGTCCCAATACTAACACGGTTTAAGTAACCACAACACTCCCTCTCAAGCGATGACATGAATGACAAGAATGTCAAGCTTGAAGAAGAAAATGTGAAGAACAAGCATGTTGGCTTGAACCACAAAACTCAAGATGAATAACATCTCCGACGAGTGCTATTGGAGACGAATGACTCTCTCTCTGAACAACCTGATGATCGAGACGGTTGACTGCGTCTATTGAACTTGAACACACTTGGCACATCGCGGTCGGACCTGATGACTGAGTTAGTCGACCGACATATGTTGACCTCCTATTCTCCCCCTCAAGGCTGGAGCATGAATATCGTGAATGCCCGACTTGAAAAGCGATGAATGGTTGATATGTGCCCAATAATGAACCAGAAGAGGGGACGACCATTTCTTGGATCGTGAATACCAACTGAACGATGAAGGAACGAAGACTTCTCTGATCGTACTACCTTTTGAACGCCAGGGGACGACCGATTATGGATATCGTGAAGACCCCGTTACACAGATGGTTGAACCGGTGACAAAACATTTGAGAGTTATGGGGCACTCGGTTGGCCCAAAAAAAACTCATCGACGACAAGATACAGACGATGGCTGCCTGTGACTAGGGATGGCAATGGGTCGGGTTGGGTCGGGTTTTGCCAAACCCAAACCCAAACCCATGGGTTTATCTTTGAAAAAAACCCGGGGTAAAATCCATTGGGTTTGAAAAATTCAAACCCAACCCAACCCGTTGGGTATCCGCGGGTTCATGGGTACCCACGGGTTTTGTCGTAAAAAATTTACAATAACAAGTTCTTATCAAAATTAAAGTCAAATATCAATCTCTCAATACAAATTATTCATATATAAAACACCATTTTAGAAAATTCAAGCAAATCACAAATTAACTATACAAATTGGTCAACACCAATCTAGAAAACTCAAGAAAATTGAAGCAAATCACAAATTATCCACAAATAACATGTTTAATTGAAAGCTTCTTTCTTTCAATTAAGTTTCTTTACTCTCCACTCCATAACATCAACTTCATTCTACACAATTAAAAAGAAAAAATTAGACATGTCTCCACAAACATAAATAAGAATAGTTGTTTAGAATATTAAATATACCGAAATAATTAATTATATGAGTGGGCGGGTACCCACGGGCCGGGTTTACCTAAACCCAAACCCAACCCAACCCGGTGAATAGTGAACGGGTTTAAACCCAAACCCGGCCCAAAACCCGTCAACACGGATTTTACCCGCGTTGACCGGGTTGGGTCGGATGGGTACCCGTGGGTTCGGGTTTTGTTGCCATCCCTACCTGTGACTAAACTAGTTTGTTGATTATGGAAGATTAGAGGTGGCAATTTCAATCCAATCCACCAATCCAATCCATCAATCCATTAAAAATATCCACCTAATCCAATCCATTTAAATCCAATCCATTTGATCCAAATCCAATTGGATTGGTGGATTCATGGATTGGATCCATGAATCATTGGCAAATTATGGTTTAGTACCTATAATTTTTATTTTTTACATTTTGGTACCTAAAATTTTATTTTTTTTATACGAAAATATCATTGGAAAATTACATTTGGGTACCTAAAAATTTTCATTGTGACATTTTAGTACCTAAACTTTTTACATTTTACATATTGGTCCTTGGTTGAGGATGTCATTTGGATTCATGGATAATCCACCAATCCACTTGATCCAATCCATAAATCTACCAATCCATTAGATCCAATTGATTTGATCCACCAATCCAATCCATTTGCCACCTCTATGGAAGAGGCAGAGAACTTGACTATTGATAACTGGAGATGCTTTGGAGATATAAGATGAACCTCCTTTTCCAATCACCACCACGAACACAAGGTAGACTCCCAACCTCCAATCAATACCAACCTCATTTAACCAAACGGCAGCACTGCCAGCACAGATCAAAAGAGGAAAAAAAATATTATCTTCTTCCTTGCAACGTGGCCTGACATCAACATAAGCTGCTGGAGATGACTTGCCGCAAAGATGGGAAGACATTTTTTATGTTTTTTTTTGGCAGACCAAATTGAACGCATCCAAGATTCCTATGGTGTGAAAAATATATATTCCAAGGGAACAAATACCCAGAAATCAGCCGAGCAGGAGGGATATCAGCGACTTCGGGTACTGGTTTTCCTTGAATGCGGATTGCGGATGCCAAATGGCATTGACGCAGACAACCCGCGGACAAGCCCTTTTGACCAACTTTGCGGAAGACGACGAGCGCTGCTATTGAACATGACGCTGTTGATGTGAGGCGACAATTATACGCGGCCGTTTAATGACGATGGCGGCGATATTGACAACGATGATGCCACGTTGCACTCGGAGCCAGATTTGAGGCATGATGAAGGAGACGGGATCAACACCTAATCGAGGGACTCAACGCTTGAATTTAGCCGAGTGAATGTGGTCTTTTGCATCCCACGACGAACTGGCTGAAACGGACAACTCCGACGAGACGAAGAAGATCAGCGGAGCAGCAGAGACATAGCGGCTTCAACTGATGATTATAGCCTTGAACGGCAACTGGGCGATGAAAAGCGAATTAGAGCTGGCAGCGGCAGTGATGCGGTCACGGGCTAACGGCTGCAGCCCTATTGCGATTGACGCGATGAGACAAGAGCCGGTCGGGAATTGAACAACCCTGCTAGGAGAAATTCCGGGAACACGGCTGCAATGACCTCGTAGACAAACGGTTGATGATGAGCGGAAGCTCAAAACCCTAGAAGGATCGAGTTTTGCTCAGATATCGTGTCATAAACTAGTTGATTCCAATAACTTGAGTTATTGGGAGAAGATTATGCTGGATCTTATACCACTCTCTAATAGAAAACATAAACAATAAATTACATATAGTGCCTAACCACCTTCACCAACGAAAAGATAGTGAAGTATTAGTTGCCCGTCATCCCAATAATCATCCACATAATTCGCCATAGAACTCATCAGCATTCGCCTATCCATGGCTCAACAAATTGTTGAGTAAGTTAAATCTTTGAAGACGGCCGTTAATTCTGTAAATCTTTTACATCATTCAACAGCGATCCAATCCAATGAGTTATATCGAGGACTCAAGAGAGTGCTGTTGGGTTCGTTTAGCAAAATGACGTAACTTATACTTTTCGGTTGACCTCAATTAGGATTAGGTCGACCTAACTTATACTCTAAAGACGACCATTGCGTCAATGAAAACAATTAAAGCCAGAGAGAGACAGACAGATAGATGAAACCAATACATATAAAGCCATTCATCTCCATGTGCCCATTGTACAGCAGGTCAAACCTACCGCTTTTGTCGGACCTGGCCCGGGCTTTGTCAAATGTGACTGTACAGGTGGCTCTATAAATAAAGCCCATCAGATATCTTTGGTCCAACAACAACAGCCCATATCCAATTACCAAAAAAAAAAAAAAAAAAACAAATCTCCAGACAAAATGGTACTTATCCATCTTCTCCTCCTCCCACTCTCCATGGCCATCCTCGTCGTCATCACCCTTTCCCGATTTCTCTCCGCCTCTGCAGCTTCTAAACACCGCCCGCTGCCGTTGCCTCCAGGCCCGAAGCAATGGCCGATCATCGGAAACATCCCACACATGACAAGAAAGGTCCACATCTCCATGTCCGAGTTCGCCAAATCCCACGGCCCATTGATTTCAGTGAAGCTCGGCGCTCAACTAATCGTCGTCGCCTCTTCCCCGGCTGCCGCCGCCGAAATCCTCAAAACCCACGACCGTGTCCTCTCGGCAAGATACGTAACCAAATCAAGTCCGTTCAAAATCAGCGATATTGATCGAATGGCAATCGTGTGGGCTTCCACCTGTAACGACAGCTGGAAGTCCCTCCGCGGGCTGTGCAGGACGGAGCTTTTCTCTGGCAGAGCAATCGAGTCGCAGGCCGCCGTCAGGGAGAAGAAAGTTAGCGAAATGGTCGAATTCCTTGCCGCTAGAGAAGGGAAAGTGGTTGATATTGGGGAAATCGTGTTAACCACCATTTTCAACTCGCTGTGCAACCTTTTCTTCTCCGAGGACTTGTTGGGGTTGGAAGATAGTAAGGGGAAGGGTAGTGGGTTAAAGAATCATATTTGGAAATTGATGGAGCTTGCAACTGCTCCGAATATTGCTGATTTTTACCCTTTTCTAGAACCCCTAGACCCTCAGGGCTTGAAGAAGAGGACGGTCAAGGTCGTCACCCAGATATTTTCCGTTTGGGAGAGTTACATCAGGGAAAGAAGGGAAATTCATGAATCAAAACTGCACGGCGATACTCTGAAATGGGATTTCCTGGACGTTTTCCTTTCAAATGGTTTCGACGATCAGAAAATCAATTGGTTGTTCTTGGTAAGATTCAACTTGAGTCCAATGATTCCTTACTCTGCTTTTTGTAACTCTGTTTTTTTTTTTTTTTGTTTACTCTACTTTTCTTACTCTGCTCGGGAATTCGACAGGAACTGCTGACGGCGGGAACAGAGACCACCACTACGACAGTGGAATGGGCAATGGCCGAGCTTCTGAAGAACGGAGAGGCAATGAGGAAAGTTCGCGAAGAGTTGAATAGAGAGATTGGGGAGAACCCCATCACAGAAGCGAATGCTTCCCAGCTGACATTTCTCAACGCCTCCATAAAAGAGACATTCAGGTTACACCCACCAGCCCCGTTCCTCATTCCACACCGTGCTCTCGAAACCTGCGAAGTGATGAATTACAGAATACCAAAGGATTCCCAGGTGATTGTTAATGTTTGGGCAATTGGGCGGGACCCGTCTGTTTGGGAGGAACCGTTGTCTTTCTGGCCCGAGAGGTTCATTGATGGCTCCACCACGGCGGACTTCAAAGGTTGCAACTTTGAGCTCCTGCCTTTCGGCTCCGGTCGGAGGGTGTGCCCGGGACTTCCCATGGCAACTAAACAAGTGTCGTTGATTCTAGCTTCGTTGATTAAAGAGTTCGATTGGACTCTCCCCGGCGGCGATGATCCGGCCAAATTAGATATGAACGAGAAGTTTGGTCTTACGCTCCAGAAGGACAAACCTTTGCTACTTGTGATCAGGAAACAGAGCACGTAACATGGCTTAGGTGTAGCCTGTGAATGGAATACATACACAAATGCTCCAGTTACTTCCAATCTTCCATGTTCCTGTGGAGTCCTCGACTTGGTGCAAAAATTGATGGACTTGGGCACAGGCAAACTACTTAATACTTTTGATTGAAATATTTAAAATTATTTGGGTGAATGTCATTTTTGATTCGAGAAATTTTGTTGACGGTTAAAGTTAACAGTTGACCTAAAGAAAATCAAGCTATGTTTAATCTTTGATTTATGTGGTGCTTATTTATCGTTGCTACCTATGATTTAAAAATAGTAGATATATAAATAAATATATAATATATTTTTGTAATTAATTTTAACATAATTTGTTATATTAATTAAACAAATCATATATGTATCCCGATGTTATGCCTCTGCCCCTAACCTTGCGTCGTCGCCGACCATTCTCTGATCCGTCACATGCACCACATGCACATCATCGTCTCTCTTTCAAATAGACTTTTACACTCACTTATCTCCGTCAACAACATGCTTTGTTATTATCCTCCACTAAAGGGCTAGGAATGAATAGGGCCGTCTGTTTCTAATCTGATAAAATGAAAATAATACCATAAACTAATAAATAAAAAATATTCCATCGTTATTTAAAAATAATGTCCTTCTGGCAATCGAAATAAAATTTATGAGTTACTTCCATTTTTGTGTTCTCCTAAAGATCATTCTCACTAGTTCATAATATTTTGCAGCCTATTTGTATTTTCTCATTTTTCATCTTTGCAATTAATTTTTTTTATGGTATTCTCTTTTTAATATACAAAGACAACAATAATGATGGCTTAATTGACTTTACCCTCCCAGCATTACCTCTTCATTTCTGTTATTTAATGAATATATAGCTAAAAGATAAACAAACAAAATAGGAGTTGTATAGTGGTCGATTGATTTTTCTAGGCCGATAATAGGTAGCAGGTTATAACAGAGCAGGGGATTGAAAATCAAAATTGATTTTGACCGTTGGAGTCAACGCGCGCTGCGGAATGAAGAAGAAGATCACTTTGTCAAAGCACACCGTTTTGGGCTGAAGTGCTGCGTTCCATTTGTCATCCCTGTTTAACGTTTTCTTCTCTACCAAGCATGTCCTTTCTTTCCTTTTCAAGTTAAGCAACACAGCAAGAGTGTAAGCTGTGAAGATTGTCTTCTTCTGATGTACTGGAACTATTTAAACAACATCTCAATGAGAATCAAAGCAAGCCTTCTAGGGTTTCAAAACCTACCTTTCAACTTCTTTGTTATGGTATCAGAGCCCTAACAAAGCTCTGTTGCCGCCGCCACCATGGCTGATCAAAACACGATACTACCACTCAAACACAAGCAGAAACTCAAGATAATCGACAAAATGCCACCACCAGCACTGATCCGACGCCTGGATCTCACTACCAGCTGGAGGATCCCTTCTACCTCCACGGATCTGAGCAACCTGGCCTTCTGTTGGTTGCCGAGAAGCTCAACACCACCAACTACAACGACTGGAGTAGAGGCATGCTGAATGCCTTGGCTGCGAAGAACAAACTGGGTTTCATTCATGGCTCCATCCTGGAACCTGAAGACTCAGATCCACTTCGTGGCATCTGGATGCGCAACAATGTGATGATTTTGAGCTGGATTCAGCAAGCTGTTGAACCAGAAATCAGAAAGACTATCCTTTCTTCCAAAACTGCTCTTGAAGCTTGGAGAAGTCTGCAATCACGTTATGGAGCTGGTGACATCATCCGAGTTGCTGAGATCGAAGAAGCTCTTTCCAACCTGAAACAAGGTAATGAAACAATCACTGAGTACTATGGTCGTGTCATCACTCTCAAGGATGAACTCGATAACTACCAACCACTTATTGCTTGCGACTGTACACCAACAAGCCATAGAGATTGCAGAGCTATGAAGAGGGTCTATGAATACCATGATACAAACTACGTTATCAAGTTCTTAAGGGGATTGAATGAAAATTTTTCCTCTGTTCGTTCTCAAGTACTTTTTGGTGAAGAGTTGCCAACTATCAATCGTGTTTTCCAACGTATGTTGCAACATGAGCGACAGCTTTATGGTACTCAAAGGGGTAAAACAGTTGCTACTGTTTCCTCTGATTCCATTGTCCTCAGTGCACAAGGTTCTTCTCGACGCCCTGCCTCAAACATCAAAAGACCCTACTGTACTTATTGCAAAAGAGATGGTCACACCGAAGAGATTTGCTATCACAAACACGGCTGGCCCCCTGGAATGACCAGATCCACACCATCTCCCCAAACAAGAACATTTGAATGCACTTTCTGCAAGAGGCAGGGCCATACTGAAGACAGGTGCTATGCCAAACATGGTTTTCCTCCTCGCATTCAAGGTGTGCAGGGCAAGGGAAAACAGTTTGCCAATTCTGTTTCCACTGATTCTGAAGAAACTGAAGTCAAGCTAACTAAGGCAGACTATGACAAGCTCATGAGTCTCATGCACTCTTCTAAAGGTTCTGGTTCTTCATTCACTGCAGCTGCTTACACCAAAACCTTTGGCAGTTCAGGTAAATATCTCCTATCAGTGCCTCCTCATTTCAAAAAGCCTACTTTATCCACAACTTGGATTGTGGACACTGGAGCAAGTGATCACATTGTCTGCTCTTTGGATTTGTTACACAATTACAAACCAGTTACAGACATTTTCATTACTCTACCCACTGGGAAACAGCTACAAGCCACTCATATTGGGACTACCCCTTGCACTGAGACCCTTATACTACAAGATGTCCTCTTTGTTCCCAATTTCACTTTCAACTTAATCTCTGTCAGCAAGCTTACCACCATCAATTCTCTCTGCTTAACATTCTTTTCTGACTGTTGTCTTATACATGACTTGAGGATGAAGAGAGTGAGTGGTTCTGCTAGATTGTCTAATGGCCTTTACCTATTAGATTTAGATTCCCCTCCTAAAGTCATCACTGCTGCTAGGGCCAACTGTTTTGATCTCTGGCACTTTCGTTTGGGACATGTTTCTCACTCCAAAGTGCCTTTCCTTTCACAATTTTGTACCTCCATTGAAACTCAAAGAGATAGACCCTGTGATGTTTGTCACTTTGCTAAGCAAAGACGACTTTCTTTTCCTGTTAGCAAGTCTGTAACCTCTAAACCATTTGAGCTACTACATGTTGATATTTGGGGGCCTAATCCAGTTCCTTCTTTTGATGGTTACAAGTATTTTTTAACAATTGTTGATGACTTTTCTCGCATGACTTGGATTGTTTTATTGACTCTCAAATCTGAGGCTAGACCTCGACTCCTTTCATTCTGTAAACAGGCAGAAAGACAGTTTCAATCCAGTGTCAAAAGAATCAGGCCAGACCAAGGAAAGGAGTTCCATATGTCTGATTTTTTTGATTCCACAGGAATCATACATGAGATGTCTTGCGTGGAAACACCTCAACAAAACAGTAAGGTGGAACGCAAACATCAACACATTTTAGCAGTTGCTAGGGCTCTAAAATTTCAAGCTGATCTGCCAGCTGGGTTTTGGGGGGGTGTTAAACATGCTGTTTTTTTGATAAACAGAGTCCCTACTTCTATACTGTCAAACAAGACTCCCTTTGAGGTTCTTCATAACAAAACTCCAGATTTCTCAGACCTTAAGGTCTTCGGTTGTCTTTGCTTTGCTAGTACCCTAGGTAACCACAGGACAAAGTTCCAACCTAGAGCTAGAAAGTGTGTTTTTCTTGGATATGTTTCAGGCATCAAGGGTTATAAGGTTTATGACTTAATTTCTCATGATACCTTTATTTCCCGAGATGTGATCTTCTATGAAGACCACTTTCCTTTCAAATACCTTAGCAACAGTGATGATCCTCCCATTCCTTCTCCCGAACCCTCACAAACAGACTTGTTCCCCACTCCTACTTTACCCTATCTTGATGATGACACATCATCTCCTCCCTCTTCTCAACCTACCAATCCAGCACCTACTTCCCCATCATCCATTCCCCATCAACCAGCTTCTCCAATCCATTCTCAATCATCTTCCCCACCCACCTTCCAAGACAACAGTCCTACCTCTTCTCCAATTCATTCTCCCCCTCCTATTCCTTCTTCTCCACCACCACCACCACCAAATCCCATTAGAAAATCCACACGACCTTCCAAACCCCCCACACACCTCACCAAAGACTATCACTGCTACCTCCTCCAACAGTCTGGCACCTCCACTTCATCCTCTCCACCTCAGGATCCTAAGACAAGGTACTCCCTCTCTTCTATCCTCTCTTATGATTCTCTGGCCCCTCATCACAGAAACTACTTACTCAACATATCCTCTTACATTGAACCAAACTCCTACGAGGAGGCCTCTCAATCTGATGAATGGAATGCTGCTATGCAGCTTGAGACTAAAGCTTTGATAAAGAATCATACTTGGGACATTTTGGAACTGCCCCCAGGCAAGAAACCCATTGGCAATAAATGGGTTTACAAAGTTAAATTTCTACCTACTGGTTTCCTTGATCGTTTCAAAGCAAGGTTGGTTGCAAAGGGCAACACACAACAAGAGGGGGTTGATTTTCAGGACACTTTTGCTCCTGTTATTAAACTGACCATAGTCAGGACTTTTTTGGCAATTGCAGCACTCAGAAACTGGCATATTCACCATTTAGATGTGAATAATGCCTTCTTACATGGGGATTTAGAGGAAGAAGTCTACATGACTTTACCTAAGGGTTACACACCTCCTGCTGGTTTTAAGAACCCTGTTTGTCGCCTTAGAAAATCTCTCTATGGCCTCAAACAGGCTTCTAGGCAATGGTTCTCTAAGTTGAATGATCATCTACTTCAGGAAGGTTATCTACAGAGTAAAGCAGATCACTCCCTCTTCTACCGAGTCACAGACACTTCCTACACTGCTATACTCATTTATGTTGATGATTTACTGGTTGGTGGGAATGATTTACAAGAAATCAACAGGCTCAAGGCCTCTCTGCATTCAACATTCAGCATCAAAGACCTGGGATCACTCCGTTATTTTTTAGGCATTGAAGTTGCCAGAAATGCTACTGGGATTCATCTCTCCCAACGCAAATACACTTTGGAAATCATTGAGGAGGCACATCTACTGGACAGTAAATCGGTTTCAACACCTATGGACTATCAATTGCATCTCACATCAGACCGTCCAGCACCATATCCAGACCCAGAACGTTACAGGACTTTGGTTGGCAAATTGATATACTTGACCACTACCAGGCCCGACATCTCTTATGCCACACAACAAGTTAGTCAGTTTATGTCCAACCCAAGTACAGTTCACTACAAAGCAGTTGAAAGGATTTTGCGTTACCTCAAGTCAGCACCCACCACTGGTCTCTTCTATCCAGCAAAGGTTCTTTTCAATTGAAAGGCTTCACTGATTCGGACTGGGCAGCTTGTGTCGATACTCGTCGCTCTGTTTCTGGCTACTGCATCTACCTTGGTAATTTGATCATTTCGTGGAAAAGTAAAAAGCAGAAGACCGTTTCTCGCTCTTCTTGCGAGGCCGAGTATCGCGCCCTTGCTTTTACCAGCTGTGAAATCCAGTGGCTGCTCTATCTTCTTGCTGACTTCCAGGTACCTCACTCGCAGCCTGCCACTCTGTTCTGTGATAATCAGAGCGCGATTTATATCGCTCAAAACCCTACTTTCCACGAGCGCACCAAGCACATCGAACTCGATTGTCACTTGGTGCGCGAGAAGATCCTCAACAACACTCTCAAGCTGCTTCACGTTTCTTCCGCTCACCAGCTCGCGGATTTGTTTACAAAACCTCTCTCCCCAGCTTCTTTTCGCCTTCTTCTCTCCAAGCTTGGTGTGCACAATCTGTGCCCACCATCTTGCGGGGGGGGGGGGGGGGGGGGGGTAACAGAGCAGGGGATTGAAAATCAAAATTGATTTTGACCGTTGGAGTCAACGCGCGCTGCGGAATGAAGAAGAAGATCACTTTGTCAAAGCACACCGTTTTGGGCTGAAGTGCTGCGTTCCATTTGTCATCCCTGTTTAACGTTTTCTTCTCTGCCAAGCATGTCCTTTCTTTCCTTTTCAAGTTAAGCAACACAGCAAGAGTGTAAGCTGTGAAGATTGTCTTCTTCTGATGTACTGGAACTATTTAAACAACATCTCAATGAGAATCAAAGCAAGCCTTCTAGGGTTTCAAAACCTACCTTTCAACTTCTTTGTTAGGTTAGTCGAGTAACCAAAAAAACCGACCCAATACCGAAATCGCTAAAATGGTCTCGGTGTCCAGTTTGAAATTAATTGCTAACCGGCGGTTTGCGGTGGCTAACCGATGGCAAGTCGGTGCACCGGTAAGTAACCGGCAAGCTGAACCTAGTCCAACAACCATCGCCGCCTTAGGTCTCCCTTTCCCCATTCATTCCCATATGCTTCTTGACACCCGGTACCACCAGACATCTCCTTCTGGCGAACTCGTGCTCTCTCCCCTTACTTCCTTTCCCAATTCCCTTCTCCGTTGCGTCGTTTTTTTTTACCCTGGCAAAGCTATTCGAGGTCACCGTCCTCCTCTCTCTTCAATCACGAATCGCGATCTCCCTGTCTCATTAACATCACCTCCTCGTCCGTCGTCACCTAGAGTCCTCCTTGATTTGCCATTGGTAGTGGGAAGAGCGAGAAGAATTTCGATCTTCCTCCCTGCATCTCCCCTGCCTTCAATGATGAAAAATTGGGGATTTCATGTGTGACGATTGAGGTCGAAAGCTGGAACTTTCCCGACGAGTTAATTGAACACACTGTGGAATTGATTAGAGAATTAGGGAAGAAAAAGAAGAAAGGAGAATACAGAGAAGGAAGGAGAAGAAGCAGAGAGGAAAGCAGGGAAGGAACAAAGGGATTTCTGTAATTGATTCTCGATGCCTTTCTCCATACAACACAACCTCATTTATATGACACACTAATTACACATTACTCCCCAAACTAACTCACATTACAATTAACCCCCTACCCTTACATTGGTTCGTTACAACTCCCAACGCCTTGAGAGTAGACTTGTCCTCAAGTCTAGCCAAGTAACAAATAATCAACAAAGACACTGGAGAAGACAATGGAATGGACTGAGAACATATAGAGAAACAGTAGCAAACGCAGCTACAAGGCCTATTGCTTGCTCCTTGGCACGATCTAGAATTTCTCATAGGTTGCTCCATCACCATCTGCGGAAACATTGACAATTCTTTGCAAGAGTTCAAGAATGTAATTGAAGCTTTATAAAAGGCCTCAGCTCCATTGCAATTAGGTTGTTGAAGTGTTCTTGTGCTAAGCTGCAAGCTCTTCATATTCAACAGCAACCAACATCTCTTGAATGGAAGTAACTTCATCATTGTGTTTACAACTAGCCTTGCAGCAAGCATGGAACCCAGAAGGTGAACCCAAACAGGTCTATAGCCTATGCCTTCCTTTACCAACCCCTCTCCCTGTCCTATTGCACATACCAAGAGCATTATGGAAATAGCAGCAACATCCACCTCCAGAATTTCACTACCACAGTATTCCCAATCCTTATACGGCCCTTTAAAATTGGGACAATCTCCACTTCCCTTAGACACCACAATATAGCAGTAGTTGGCACCAACCTTAAGATCAAATGGAAAATAGAGCTTGTGAGTTGATCCAACAACAATGAGCTCACTCAAACAACCCAATTCCACCAGGGTCAAACAACCTAATAACTGTGTCTGCAATTCCAATCAAAGAAGCAGAATTGTGAGCTTCCAGTTTAACATGTCCCACTTCAGTTAACTCTGAATCATGTTTTGCCAACACGAAGACGAATGGTTGAGCCCCCGTTGTTCCATTCCTAGCATTTGCAGAAATAAGCTCGACTCCAGGAAGTTTAACTTCATCTGTGGCTTTTGCTGCACTAACAGAAACATCAACTGTCATTTGGCCAAGACTACCACCGTTGCTAGTAGACAAACGTCCCACATCGTCGAGAACCTGAGAACGTCTAGAATCACCAGCCAATTCTTTACACAATGCGACATTTAACTTCCCATTGACCCCATCAAACGAAACTCCACTAGCAGAAGTGAGTAATACAAGAAAGTTGTATGGCTTGTAAGCCATCCCACCAAGTTTTGGCACTGCTATTGCAGAAGTCACTGGCACACAACTCACAAAAAGAGAACAAAAAGGGTTGGCCCACATATTGAGCTTGAACTTAGTAGAAGGTTTATGGGCTTCAGAACTTTCCAGAGGTGGTGCATCAGAGGCCTTCGCACTCAGGTCATCATCTTCAGCTTTGAGTGCTTTCTCATACAAGTTCAACTTCTTCCAAGTCGGTTCGAATGCAAGGCAAGCCTCGATAGTAGGAGCTGCTTCAATTGTTATGTTGTTTCCCATTATGCCTAAGACTTCAAGGGGTGTAACTGAGTTCTTAGTCTGCTCCATTTCTTCCTCAGTAAGAGCAGGAAGAGCACCATCACAAACAACTAATTGCTCCAATCGAGCTTGCTCATAAGCTTCAGCTAATGTTTGGGGCTGCAGCATCTGAACCACCCACTTCAAGTCTTCTTTCAGTCCGCTAATAAACCTCGAAATGAAATACTCTTCATCCATGATACAAGTATATCTAACCAGCCGAGATCTTAGTTCTTCAAACTTTTCCTGGTATTCCAACAATGAGCCTCTTTGCCGCAACTTGTTGAATTCACCCAGTGTTCCAGTAAATGATCCATTAGCAAAACGTCTACATAAGGAAGCTACAAACTCACCCCAAACCAGCTCCTTACGACCATATCTTGATAGAGACCCGCACGGGTAGGGGGGTCGGGTTGGGTTGGCCGACTGGGCCGGGTTGGTTTTGCTTGTCTTATTACTCTGTGTTAGTTCTGAAACTCATAAATAGGTTTCTGCACATTCATTTACGGTTAAGCAATAATAATATCAAAATCCCTAAATCCCTCTTCTCTCTGTTCTTCCCCAATTCTTCTTCCAATCCCTAATTCTTCTTCTAATCCCTAATTCTTTCCCAATCCCCAATTATACTTCACAACCCCAAACCCTACTCATCTCTATCAATTGGTATCAGAGCCACCATGAGCTTTGCAAAGCTCTCTGATCCTTCTTGGACCCGGCTGCTGCAGCGGATTGACGCTCTCTGCGCCGACCGGGAAGCTGAGGCGTGCGAGGAGGGCTGCCCCGCGGAGGCAGCTGGCGGGCCGCGCGTACAGGCGCATGCGGCATCACCGCGCGGAGGCCAGGCGTCGGGGAAGGGGCAGCAGCGCCCGGCGGGTCGGCAGCGGCGGGAGGGCCGCGGCGCGAGCCGCGCGCGGGAGCGCTTCTCGGCGGGGGAAGCTCGCCGCCGTGCGAGCACCGAGGCGGCGGGGCGGTGGACCCAGGGGCGGACGGCGAGGGCAGCAGGATGTCGTCGGCGGCCCCGTGCATCTCGCTCCACTCAGTGACCGGTCTACCTACGCCGGGAACACTCCGTTTCTGAGCTGAGATAGCTGGCACTACTGCTCTGACGTTGGTGGACAGTGGCGCGACTCTTAATTTCATCAGTGAGGAACTGGCTAAGCAGATTCCTCAAAGGCCGAGCGAGGTGGAGTCTATGGTGGTCAAGGTTGCCAATGGCGCCCCAATGCGGTGCCGGGCAGTGTATCGGCAGCTGCCTTTCGAGATTCAAGGGTTGCCCGTCACTGCCGATATGTATGTTCTACCCATCCGCGGGTTTGACTTGATCTTGGGTGTTCCATGGTTGCAGGAATTGGGACCGGTGACTACTGATTGGCGACATCTGACTATGCGGTTCAAGTGGAGAGATAAGGAGTGGAGTCTGCGAGGGCTCACGACGGCTCTAGGCCCATTTCGATCCATGAGTGTGCGGCGGAGGGCGAGGCTGAGCTGGCCGTCCTCTGCTGGCCCACGGTGGCGACCGATACAACACAACCTCATTTATATGACACACTAATTACACATTGCTTCCCAAACTAACTCACATTACAATTAACCCCCTACCCTTACATTGGTTCGTTACATCATGCATTGATTTTCTGGAAATTCGAGAGATAAAGAAAGAGATACGAGAGTTGGGGAGTGGGGATAAATGGGGCGTAATTTGGGGAAAAAAAAGAAATGACCCCCCTTTTCTATCCATTTATGTCGGTCACAAGTTGCCGATTAACAACACCGTAATTGAGATTTTGGTGGCGGCTAACCGCATGCCTTCTGCAGGGACTACAGTCTAGTATCTAATGCAATCTCGACACTCAGCTCTCCCCTCGATTTTCGTCCTTTTATTCCGCTCTGATGGTTGCTCTTAGGGATGAGAAAATAGACCAGACTGTTTAAAAAAATTGTGGATCAAATCGGGCTGCATAGTTTGATATAGACCGTAGACCGTAAAAAATGATTTGGTCTGGTTCATGGTCTGTATTATATGAATTTGGATCTTATTCTGGTGTGGTCTAGACCGCGGTTTACCAGACCAAACCATGGATCTAGCTGACTTCCCAATACATGTTAGTAGCCTACTCCACCACTCTTATAACTTCCACAACAAGACTCAAGTCTCAACTCTAATTTGAGAATCCCGTCCCCACCTCCATTCACAACCACATTTCACTATAGACTAGAGACGATTGTGTCTCCATATGATATTATGTTCATGTTTATGACGTTATGGTGTGAGTTAGGATGCTTTGACTTTGTATCTTTATTATTTACTAAGATTTAGGGTGTCAAAATTATTCATGCATGTTAGATTTTATGTTCTAATGCAAAAAAAAAAAAATCTCGATTATTGGTTCAATTTTTAGTGTGGTTGACTTAACAAAGTTTTCATTTTTCGTTTGATGTGGCCTAGCTGGGCCAGACCGAACAGGCGTGGTCTGGTCTAACCGTTTAATATGTGGTCTGGTCTCTTGTCTATACTCTAACTTCTCGGTCTGGACCGTAGACCGTATATATGGTCCAATCTGGACCAGACCGCATTGTTTTCCAGCCCTAGTTGCTCCTTCCTAATTGACGAATATTGATCTTGGTTTAGCTCTATAGAGAAGCATAAGGGATGGGTCTGAGAAGGGAGATAGCAAGGTTGTCAACCCGGTTTCAGCACGTTCAAATGAATGAATAAGGGATAATGGTCGAATCGGTTCAGCATGCTTTAATCCGGATTGACGAACACGGATCTAGGTCTAGCTCTATAGACCCGCATAAAGGATGGGTCGGAGAAGGGAGATAGCAAGGTTGTCAACCCGATTTCATACTCATTTGTAATATGTATCTCCTCGCATTGTATTAGTGAACCACATAAATCGTATGTCATGTGTGTGCTTTCATTTCTTGCATTGTCGAATCCTTCTATTTCCCGACCCGCACAAAACAGTCGTGACAGAAATTTCTATGTTTATTATTATTGTCTTTGTGGCAACATTATGTTTATTAGTAAGTATTGTCCTGTGTCAAGAACCAGTTTATCCCAATAATTTGAGTTGTTGGGAGAGGTTCAATCTTGAATCATACATCGTTTACTAACACACCCCCCAAACAGATGAGGATCATCAGGATTCGAACAGAAGACATCTCGGTCACAGAAGGCTCTGATATCATGTCAAGAACCAGTTGATTCTCAATAACTCGAGTTGTTGGGAGAGGTTCAATCTTGAATCATATACCGTTCACTAACATCCTGAATATTTTGATCATATCATAAACATGAAAAACAAATAAAAAATGATAATAAGATAATTTTAAACTTTAAGTTCTAAACCCCAGTGGCCTAGCCTTGATCTTCTTTTCATGCGGCCGCCCTTCCCCACATTCCTCCCAGTTTCTATCTCAATTCTTCCTCCTCACTTGACTTCTGAAGAAAGAACAACAAACAACTCTATCATCACTTCATTTCAAATATTGTCTCCCTTCTTTCTCTCCCCCCTCATTGGTCTCTCTCCATTTCCTCCAAGTTCACATCTACTCAAAGTCAACTAGTATAATGTGCTTGCCACGCTGCCGCTAGAGATTAGGCGGCTGAGGAATGTGATGGTGTTTGACATCAATTTTTACAAGCTGATGGGTCCTTTGTCAGACACGATTGGAGGGATGGTGAGTCTGGAACAACTGAATCCGCCGGCGTAGAGGGCGCCTGGTCCCGCCCCTATTGTTCTGGGAGCGGTTAGCCTGACTACTTCTAAAGGGGTAGTGATTTTCGACACCCATCATCTTAGCCGTCCATTTTAGATAGTCTTAATCTAATGATAATTGCAAACAGTTGGTAATTATTGCTCTAATTCAATAATTAATTACATCGAAAAAGAGAAAGAAGTAAAAGTGGCGACCCATTCCCTCTTACCTTTTTCACTTTCACCGTTTCAGTTCCCCTTCCCTTCTATACCTCTGCCTTCAGAACCCACAAGAAACCCTTCGCCGCCGACTCATAAAATCGCCGCCGTAGACCCTAATCTCCTTCACAAACAGCGGTCGGCCACTCCCTCCCGTCGGAAGTCGTCTCTCTTTCATCCCGAACCATAGACTTCAGCACCCGCCGCAACCCTTCGCCGCCGACTCATCAAATCACTACCCCCGCCGTAAAACATCATCTCCTTCACAAACAGCGGTCGGCCCGTCGGAAGTCGTCTGTCTTTCCCCCCGAACCATCGACTTCGAACCCGCTTGATCGATTCCCGTCCACGATAGTATAGCTGCGACAGAGGCTATGCATTTAACGATAGGGGCGTCGGCGTGATTTTCCGCTTTAATTCATCCTAAACTGAGGCAAGTATACTCCGAATGCTTTTATTGTTGTCGTCTCTTTCATTACGGCATTGCATGAAATTTTTTGATTGTTTTGCGAAGTGGTAGTTCTATCACTGTAGTGGTAGTTCTATCACTGTAGTGGTAGTGTGGTATATCACTCTAGTGGTAGATGTGTAAGTATAGTGGTATATCTAGCATTATAGTGGTAAATCCTTCACAAGCTGTTGATTGTCTATCGCTGGATTCGTTCAAATATCACTAAAGTGGTAGTTAGTTGTAAAGTTTATGTTTATAGGGCTATCACTGCAGTGATATTTACAACTTAATTTTTGTTCTTGAAAGTACCACTACACTGGTACTTTTGTTAGTTCGTAGAATTGACTTATCTTCCAATGAAACCAGGAATGGCAAGGACGAAGAGAACTGGTCCTGAGATGCCAGCAGGAAATCAACTTGAGAGGCAGAATCCTGGGGGGCAGAAGGCTGCTGGGAAGCGGCCTGTAACCTATGTTTCCAGGCAGGTTGCAATTGGGGTAAATCAGTCTAGTTCCTCTAGTGAGGGTACAAGCAAGAAACGACGCCGTAAGAGCAAGGAAAAAGAAGGACAAGGTCGGAACAAGAGGAATCGTACTGATGATGTATCCGGGAAGAAGTGCAGCCCCAACTCTATAATTGAAGTGGTGAATGATGGAGTGTCAAACGAGAGAAGGGCTATATTGAAGAAGATGGGTAACCATATATTCTGTTTAGGCTTAAAAAAAATTGTGAACACAGTTTTTGGCTACTAATGGAAAGTTCCTATTTTGTTGACTGATTGAAATGTTTCTTGTGCCAGAATTATATTTCATGATCAAGTATGAGTATTGGTATATTGAGGACAGTCTTAATTAGTACCAGTTCAGTGGTATAAGTACCAATATAGTGGTATAAGTACCAGTTAATTGATATGTATACCAGTCTAGTGGTATAATACAAGTTCAGTAGTATATATGTACCACTGAAGTATTATGATTACCGCTGAAGTTGTGCGAAGACCATTTCTATTCCATTACTCGTCGGCAAAGATATTTCCATGAAATTGAAAGAAGTTAACCAATAATACGACAAAAAAAAAAAATCAATTCCAAACTTCAAAAGCGGTGGAGACCACAATATTTCAATGACGATGACACTGCCGTGAATATGTACCACTGTTGTGGTACATATACCATTGTACTGATACATGTATCACTGAAGTGGTTCATGTACCACTAGGCTGATAAAAGTACCAGTGCAATTATTCAAGTCATACTTTTCTACTTGTACCATTAGCAAAATTGAAACTCATCCTAAATGTTCCCATTGTAGTGTTAGATATACTTTGGAGTTATGCCATTGAAAAGGTACATGTATCACTGAACTAATATATATACCAGTGAACTGATACACATACCACTGCACTGATACATGTAGCACTGAACTGATACATGTACAACCAATCTGATACGTAAACAAACAAGCAACTTCTCATTAGTATTACCACTAACCGTGCAGTACAATGTGTTATAAAAAAAGGGAAATGCCAACAACTATAAAATATCCAGCAAATGCAACTATTGAAGTCACTAAGAAATTGTTTGTGGGATGTACTTCTTGCCCTAACATCATCGGTACGTTTCCTCTTCCCCTATCTTGTTGCTCTTATCCCGGCTCTCACGGCGCTGTTTCTTGCTGGTACCCTTACTCGAGGAAGGAATCTGACCTACCCCTACTTCTACCCTAGAAACATAGCTTGCAAGTCTCTTCCCTGTTGGAACCGCAAGATACCGTCTCTTCGTCCTTGTCATTCCTACTGTCATTGGTACACACAATAATCAGAATTATCAATTTAGTGATAAAATATGAGATCAATAATGATTTTGTTAGTACCACTACAGTGATAGCCCTACACACAAAAACATAACAACGAACTACCATCATAGTGATAGATCTACCATTGCAACGAGAGATCTACCACTATAGTGATATATCTACCACTGCAACGAAAGACACACTATCTCACTGTAGTGATAAAAAGCTTATCACTGATAACGTTCAACAGAAACTCAGACAGTGGTAGAACTACCATTGCAGTGGTAACATTACACCGGTATCAATACCAGTACACTGGTACTAATACCACATGAAAAAATCCAGACCTAGAAACTCAAAGACACATATCTGGGTAATGAAAATACCATTGAACTAGTGCTAATACCACACGAAAATCCAGATCTGGGTTTGGGAGAGAGAGCTACCTCAGATTCTTCATCGTCGTCGTCGGGAAGGGGAGGAGGCCGTCATCTTCGCCGAGAAGGTGAGGAGGGTAGTCAGAAGAAAGACCTAAAAAATATAGAAAGAAGAGTAGAAAGAGGAAAATGTAAGGGAGTAAAACCCAACACCTACTATCGATTTCGGGAGGACGGAGACTAGTTCCATGAAATCGTTAGTTCTTCGAAGTCGTCTCGCCAATGGAAGGTGGTTGACGGAAACAAAGCAAAAGGGAAGAGGAAAGGAGTTGGTTGGCAGGTTGATTCTCGATCGGTGGAAGGAATAACCTCCATTGTTGTCGCCGAGGAAGGTTGAAGATGGCCGGCTGCTGGTGATGGAAGGAGGAGGGTTGGTCGTCTGGTGGGAGAGACAAAAGGGGAAATAATCAAAAGGGGAAAGTCAAATCGTTTTTTCCCAGTCCCCAAATTTCTTCCCCTGCATAAATTGCCCCACTTCCCGTGCATAATTAATATGACAGTTAATCTTTTCTCCATCCATATTTATTTGGGACAGCCATTAATACTTGCCTAATAATTAAGTATACAACTGACCAATCAAATGGGGGGTGTCGAAAATCACTACCCCTTTAGGGGTTAGCATAGTATCCGACCCCATTGTTCTCGCGTCGTCACAGCCTATGTATTCACCTTTAGGGATGGCAAATAACCACCCATGGGTAATTATACCCAAACAAAAGTAGACCCATTGATATTGGTTGGGTATGGAAGAAGTGCATATGAGTTTGTGAGTTTGTAGATGAGTTGGGGGGGAAGTATGAATATTGCTTCCATAATCCAAATGAGTATGGGTTGGATAGATATCCATTTACTTGAGGGTATTTTAACTACACATACCAAAATTAGACTTATTTGTAAAACTTGAAAAGTTTAGGGACCAAAATGTAAGAACAAAAAAATTTAGGTACTAAAATGTAATTTTTCATTGATATTTTGAAAACTTATATGCAAAACAATAAATTTAGGTACTATATATGAAAATCTATTAACTTTAGGCACCAAATTATAATTTGCATTTGGCATGGTACAAACCCAAATCCATTTGTTAAAAACCCAACCCAGGTAAGTGTGTATGGGTACAAACCCATCAAACCGTACCCATATATATCTATTTGGATTTTATACCTAACCCAATTAGCTTGGATATTAAAATACCCATAGGTATGGACGAAATTGCCATCCCTATTCACCTCGACCTCCGCTTCACTCTCCTCCGCCGCAACCTCCACCAATATACTAACCTCTAACCTGGAAACCATTCCAGCAAAGCCAACCACCAGGATTTGACGGGTTTTGACCGGATCACACCCGGTTTGAATTTTCTGGACCATTCTATGAACAGGTGTGCGGCGCCCATTGTAGTTACGGGGTTCAGACTTGAGTTGACCACCGGGTTGACAACCATGCCTGGAAGCCATGCTATCAAGCCACAATAAGCAAGCTTCCAAAGGAAAAAAGGGCAAATCAGTGGAACCTCTCGGCAGAAACAAGAGAGAGAACTGGGAACGCAAGCTAATAATCAAGATGAGACAGAGGAAAGAAAAAAACTAGACCCTCTAGCTAACCTTCCTAACTCGTTGGATGGAAAGACTCAAAAGGTCTATCTCCAAAGTGCAACAAAAGTGGAACCAACTTTGGCTACATTGTACTAGGATATATTGTTCATTGTTCACCTGCGAAGGGATTGGTTGCGATTTGAGCCTAACAAACCCAACCAGGATAGGGTGCACCATTTGGATTTTGGAGAATGGTTCTCCATTCTCATCCAACGGCTCACAAAAGTTTTTTTTCTTTAAATTAAAGGTTCAGATCTATTAGAGTAATAGATAGTGGATTATGTGACCCACAACTTGAAAAAGTAGCTGACATGTGGGCCATTTATTTTTAACAAAATATAACTTATACATTGTGAGAAACACATTTATTGGGGTTTCTATTATTATATTAGATAGGATAATTATTATTATGGTTAGTAGAGATTTAGTACAATTAGGTTATTCGTTAGGGTTTTCCAGTATTTCCCTATAAATATGTACTTTGGGTTTACGTCATAATCAATCAAGAAGAATATTAAGCAAAGTCTCCCAAACCCTAATCTCTCCTCTCAACTCCTAATTTCTCATCTCATCCTAATCCAAGGCTTAGGCCGATTCCCAATTCTATTCTATCTCATCTAAATCCCTAATTCTTTCTCTCAAACCCTAAATCCCTAATTATCACGAGTGCCGAAGATCAGTATCGAGAATCCCTAGAAGCGTGGTTCTCACAATTGGTATCAGAGCCCGGTTGTGGCACTCGTACCAGAACCATGTCGAGATTCGAAGAGCTCTTGATCAACGCACTCACAAAGATGTTGAAGTCGAAGCTGGAAGCGGAGTGGAAGAACGAGGTTACCTCGTCCTTGCCGCTGTCCGCGAACATCGCGCAGACTGCTCCACACATAACCGCAACCGCCGCGCCAAAGGAGTCGATGAAGGAAGATGCACCGCCATTATTGAAGAACGCAGCTGCAGAATTGGACTTCGAGGATTGGTGGGAACAACCGGCGTGTCCAATCGAGGTCGAGCAAGGGGAAATTACCGCCGATGTGAAGACCGAGAAAGAAGCTACTGCAGCGGCTGCTGCGACATCACCACCACCGTCGTCGTCGGTAGCTGTTCCTCTAGCCGAGGCCACTGCCGAGAACATCAAACGGCCACAGCTGTTGGTGATCACCACCAAACCACAGAAGAAAGAAGCCATGGCTCCACTACCGGCGTTGCTGCCGCTCTGACAACACAGACAGATCTGGCTGTAATGATGATGGAAGAAGATCCGGGAGCGAGTCCCGGCGCGACAAGGGATTTCTTAAACCCGGCCATTCCACAGCCGAGGAAACCACCCGACGATCAATCATCGCCAATCGTGAGCTCGAGCCGTGGGCTGGACTCGCCAGTGCTCTGGATCGCGTCGCTGAAGGAAGAGTCGAAGAGGAAGATCGGGGGCTCGAGCTTGGCTCCGCGCCGCGAGGTTGAAGTCTTGCCAGAGAGGGAAATCACCCAGACGCCGCGATTTGTAGTGACTCTAGCCGCGGTGACGACAGTTGGGGAGAAAGGGAAGGCGAGCTGTGCGGCGGCTCTAGTCATGGCGACAGCGGCCTGTTCGCCTCCGAAGAAGAAAACGCCGCCGAGGAAGAAGGAGCAGGCGGTGGCGGATTCGGACTGGCCACTTGGCCATCGGCGGAATAGCACACTGCCGAGGAAAGATTCGACCAACGACGAGGGGCTGCCGGAGAAGAGGAAGAAGAAGAAGGATTCACCGTCGAAGACGGAGCGGGGAGCAGGGCAAACTTCCTGCTGGAGGTTCTGTTTCTCGCCGGAGAACTTGACCGAGACGAAGACAGCGCCGTCCCGGAAGTTGCAGACGGCGGCGAACAAGGAGAAGGATTCGACGGCGGCTCCCCTCGTGTTGTCGATCAGCAGGGAGAGGGGTCGGAGGACGGAGCCAGAAGCGCGGCAACAGCCTTGCCGCCGGATCGTTTGCGCGTCGCCGGAGAATGAGGCGAAGGGTTCGCCGAGGAAGGAGCTCTTGGGCGGCGGCGGATCTCCTTCTGCTGTAACCCTAGGCGGTCGAAGAGTGGGGTGGGTTGGGCACCCATCGGGCCGAGATTTCCAAGCCGAGTGGGCCGTGAGGCCAATGAAAGTGGGCCAGACCAGCCCGCACCCATGGGTGGAGTTTGTTGGGCCAGGATGGATTTCGCATGGGCTCTCCCTGGGCCGAGTTTCAGTGGGCTATTTTGTAAGATTTGTCTTGCAGGGACAGAACTTGAGAGAAGAAGAATGTGGGCTAGTTGGATTAAATGGTGGGCTGAACAAGAAAGAACTCAGCTGGCATAAAGAGAAAGATGGGCCGAGTTTTAAGAGAGGGCTTGGGCCTCTGATGGGCTGTCTGATTTGTTCTCCTTGGTTTGAGCAAGGCTTGAGGGAAAAGAAAGAGTGGGTTCTTACCTTGGCAAGTGGGCTTTACGATGGGCCAAACCCAAACGGAAATGAAGAGAAGAAGAGAACAATGAGACTTAACATTGGGTTGGGCTCTAGCTCTTTCTTCCAAGTAGATATGGGTCTAGTTCAATGTGAAGGAAAAGAGGATTGGGTAAGGTTATGGGCTGTAATCACCACCAAGCAAGAATTTATGGAGCATAGCCTTGAAGGCCTCAAGCTAGAGCATGAAGAAGGACAATTCTCCAATTCTTATTCCATGGATTTTGAAAAGGAAGAGGAAGAATTGTTCGTTTATAGGAAACGTGACATGTGTCACGCAATTCGAAAAGAGTTGAAGGACGTTGGAGTTGAAGGAGTCATTCGTGAGTTGGAACGCAATTGGAAACGAAGAAAGCGGAAGGTCAAGGAGGTAGAAGTCAACTACAACCTTGAGGTCAAGGTTGTTCTCAAGGGGGATGGATTGTGAGAAACACATTTATTGGGGTTTCTATTATTATATTAGATAGGATAATTATTATTATGGTTAGTAGAGATTTAGTACAATTAGGTTATTCGTTAGGGTTTTCCAGTATTTCCCTATAAATATGTACTTTGGGTTTACGTCATAATCAATCAAGAAGAATATTAAGCAAAGTCTCCCAAACCCTAATCTCTCCTCTCAACTCCTAATTTCTCATCTCATCCTAATCCAAGGCTTAGGCCGATTCCCAATTCTATTCTATCTCATCTAAATCCCTAATTCTTTCTCTCAAACCCTAAATCCCTAATTATCACGAGTGCCGAAGATCAGTATCGAGAATCCCTAGAAGCGTGGTTCTCACATACATACTATTTACATGTGATATATGTATATTTTTATTGAACATGGTCATTGGGTTGTGCTGGGATTCCATTAGCTCTGTTGCATTCTTTGTGCTCTCTGTTGTGTTATTCTAGAACCATTAGTTGGAGTTTGTTACTTCATATGTTGCAATGTGTGAGAGTATGGGATTGTTAATAGTTGTAGCACTGTATATGAGGTGTGATGGTTTTAAGATATTGAAAGAAAGCTGAGTTCTGATGTTATATGATATTTCTGAGTAGTAGGAGGCTTTTCAATGCTCTTGATAAGCAGTAGCTGGTTGCCTAGTTCTATTACCACTGCCCATTTCTCTCTTCTCCTTTTGCTCCCTCCTCTGGAAATATGGAAAGCTAGCTTTAAGGGAGGGAGAATCTGAAAAGAACAAGAGGGATTGTTGGAAGGGGTGATTAATGATTATCAGGGAAAATCTGGGATCTTTCTTTTCTTTCTTCTATTTCTTTGTTTATCTCTTAGCCAATGGACCAACTACTTGATCTTTCTTCTTCTAACTCTCTCTCTCTCTCTTTTGATAGTAACTATTGCATCCCTGGATCGGATTGTGTAGAGATTCATCAGATATATACACCATTTGTGTTTCATATTTTTCGGCGAACAGAACCCATCATACTCCATCTCCAGTTGTCGGCGGACAGCTCCCCACTTTCCGACGACGAAGCTAGGCTCGCCGTGCAGCGAATCTGCGTCGACGAATGGGTCAAGACAGGGAGGCAGTTTGGATCTCCATCGTGCAGCCACCACCATAGACGTTAACAGTTCCATCGCGCAGCCACCAGGCCCACCACCACTCTATCCCGTCCTACTCTTCGTCGCGCTCTCCCTAGCCCTTCTTCAAAGTCAACGACAGATCCAGGTCCAACTCAACCCTTCTGCGGCGGCGCTTGATTGTGGCAGGATTTTTTAGAAGCGGAGGCACCGACGGTCCGATGCCGGTGAAGTCAGCGGCGCCGTCGAGGTCCGAGGAAGAGCACGACAGAGTCTCCGACTCTGTTGCACAATGTCCCTTTTAGCACCTGAATTTTATAAAGAGAAATAAACTGGTCCAACATCATGTGTTGAAAAATATATTTTAATACCTTAAAATTTTTGTTTTACAATTTAGTACCTAAAAAACAAAACATTTACAAACAGTTTAAAAGTAATGGGTACCCATACTCAACTCATACCCATTTTCAAATCCACACTATCCAACCTAACTCTACCTATCCAAACACTATCCAAACCCATATAGAATAAATCCATACCCTACCCATATAGTTGGGTATAATTGGGTTTGGGCAAAAAAATCCATGGGTGGGTAAATGGTCATCCCTACTTCCAAACACCGCTCACCGGCGCTGCCTCCAGGCCCTAAGCCATGGCCCATCATCAGAAACCTCCCTCACCTCAGCAAAAAGCTCACATCTCCCTCCAACACTTCTCCCGTCAGCCCTACGTCAAAGAGAGGAGAGAGTGTTGACGGGGAGAGCAATGTGGTGCTCAAGACTTCTTGGATATTTTCCTGGAAAATGGACTCGATGGTGACCAGATTGACTGGTTGAGTCTCGTATGTTCAAAAGAAGAAAAATAATTTCAATCCAATTTTGTGGTTAGCAACAATATTGGGAGATGTGGAGATGTGAACACATGACCTCTTGGTCAAACCAACTCTGATACCATGTCAAGAATCAGTTAGTCCCAATAACTCGAGTTGTTGGGAGAAGGTTATTCTGGATTTTATACCACTCTCTTACAAGCTTGAGTTCAGCTTTTCCTTTGGTTTTCTTGCAGGAACTGTTCATGGCTTGTACAAACACTAACACGACTGCAATAGAATGGGCGATGGCAGAGTTGATTAGAAAAAGGGAGCGATGAACAAGCTGCGGGAGGAGCTCAACGCAGAATTATCGATGCCGCTTGAGAGAAAATTGTTTATCGACGAATCTGCAGTCTCGACTTTCGTACTTGAATGCAATCGTGAAGGAGACTCCGAGGCTACACCCGCCGGGGCCGCTCATGCTGCCGCACCGCGCATCAGAGACTTGCGAGGTGATGAATTACAAGGTCCCTGAAGAAGCTAAGATCCTGGTCAACGTGTGGGCGATTTCAAGGGGTCCGACAGTGTGGGAGGATGATCCGACGTTTTTCAAGCCGGAGAGGTTTATTGGGTAGAAGGTGGATTTTTGAGGGCATGATTTCGAGCTGTTGCCATTCGGTGCTGGGAGGAGGATGTGTCATGGAATGCCGTTGGCCACCATAAAAATTTCATTGATTTTGGCTGCTTTCGTTCGGAACTTCGATTGATGCCTCCCCGATGGAAAAGATCCAGCAGAATTGGATATGAATGAGAAGTTTGGGTTTACCTCTGCTTCTTGTTCCCAACCGGTGTTCATTATGAGATCTTCAATATTGGTTGGGTGCTACGAGTCATTTCATGTTGTTACCAAAAGAGAGTCCATATATGAAACTAGTCACGAAGCAAGCTCGTGAGAATATATTTGTATGTTATCAACCAGATGAACGGCGAAATGCCCTTAAGATGAAGTTTATTAAATATGACACACTAATCGATTTTAATTTATGCATTCATGAAAAGTTTGAATTTTCGACATTATGAAAAGCTTTGTAATTATCATCGTAGATCTCGATTTCTTGAAAGTTAAAACTAAAAAAATTTACTGATAAAGTGGGAGAAGTAATGTAACAGTTTGTCAATCAGAATTAGACAATCTGTTGCATATAAACGGTCCTATCCTTGGAAAACAAAATGACAAATCTATGATAGAAAAAAAAGAAAAATCAAGCTTACTTCGTCATGTACTTCGTCATGTACTTAGGCTGGTGTTGGTTGTAACTGTATTGTATATCTCTATAAACGAAGCCAAGTACGATAGCATTGTTTGCTACTGTAAATCAGGCCGGGTCCCAATTATTGAAGCTGCGCGACAAGTCAGGTAATATTATTATCAAATAAAATTTTGCTACTTTATAGTTCATTCCCTTCTTGTAAGAGGTTAGAGTGTTAACTTCATAAACATTAGCACCATGCTAACTACTTTAATCAGCTTCCATTTTTTTATGTTCAATCTGATGGTGGATGATAATGAAGGATATATTTGAAATTTCACAAAATTAAAAATAATAAATCTGTTAAAATATAAAATCTATTCTCTCTCTTAGCCATTTTATACAAGAAAAAACACTACTAAATTCGCTACTACTTAGTCGTTTGGCTGATAGTAGTGATTTTATGATTTTTAGTTGCCAGCGACAAACAATTTTGGAGTTTAACTGTTGTTTGAGCCTAGAATGTTCTAGGCGATTTGATGAAGAACGAGCAAAGTGCCTGTTCCAAAGGGTGGGTGCATTCCTGATCCCTGCAAAACAACGGTTCGTGGGCGGTCACCCAGGACACTCTCCAATGCTTAAGTTAGAGAGAGAAGGGAGAATTTATGTTCGTGTTTAGAGAGAGAGAGAGGAAGTAGTTGAGTTACCATCAATGCAGATATGAAGGTATTTATAGTCAATTAGGTTGGCTTTGGGGAATTAAATACCATGTCAGGCGCCCTAGACACGCTCTGCTTTACCTAGACCGCCTACGGCGGGCAATTAATGCTCAGTCTTACAGTGTTCGAGGGAAATATCCTAGGAAGATCTTCTCTTTTTGCCACCATCGATACTTTGTGTCAGGCGGCCTACTCCTTATCCCATCCTAGACTGGACGCCCGCCATTCTCTTTTCCCTATGCACGGTCCCTCCTTGGGTCTTTCGCTGGGCCTCGCTTGGGTCTTCCGCTGGGCTCTGCCCGATTTACTCTATTTGGGCCTTAAGCCCAACACCGCTCAACCATGGGCCCAACAATTGCCCTTTAGTCGTGAAAATCTACGGGTGTTGGCGGCTACTAACTTTGCTCAAGGTGTGTTGAGCGGTCATCCACTGCAACTGCTACATATATCTTGCCTCTGGCCGCCTAAGAGATGAAGGTTTTCCAGTTAGTGTCTCGTCCTTTGATTATTGAGAACGCTGTCAGGTCCATGACCTCTCTCACATATGAAGTGAGTTGTTGGCTTGTTCACCTCTAAATGATCCTCTTTACTCTATATGCAATCTAATGCGGTTAATTCTAATTTCCATTGTGCGATTCCTTTCAAGCCGCCTGGTAGATGAGCGGTTGCTCTGTCTACCATTAGGTGCTCCACTTCATCCCGCATGTGACCTCATGCAGCTCACCCTGAATTCCCTTTGTCGATTCCCTTCCCGCTACTCTTCAAGCTACATGCATTCTATGCCACATGTCAATTCTCGAGAGTTGGACCCTGACAATGGGCAGCCCCCACGTCATATCACCTACCCATCTTTTTGAATTTTGAGACTAGGGTTTCTCGGTCACCCAACCGTCGCGTCATTGCCCTTTTTCCTTTCTTCCCTATTTATACCCTTCTTTCCTCTTTCTTCTTCTTTCTTCTTTTTTCCAGCCATCGTTTTCGTCGAGTTTCTCTCTATTCTTCGCCAAAATTTCTCGCTGCTCTAGATTTTCCCTTTCTTCTTATTTGCGAAATCGTCCCCTCTCGCCAGTACGATCAGATTTCCTCACCAAGCTCAGGCGAACTCAGAAGCGAGCGAAAAGGGAACAACGACGACTGAAAATGGCGATCGAGTCTCAAAGCACCACTCGTTCTGACAGTCTAAACTAGAACCTCTCCAATGACGTCGCCGCCTCCACGACCTCTAGCGACGTTCATTATTTTAAAACGAAGCACTGCAATGGTTGTGTAACCACCCATACGAAGAGTTGCTTCCCTTCGTACGCACCCATTCATTTTCTATAAATAGGACCATACCCCCTCTAGTTTTGAGTACGCGCAATATACGGTTTTCCCATATCAAAACTCTGCCAAAATCTAAAGTGATTTTTCTGCATTGTTTTTCAAATGAAAAATCGAGTCAAGTGTTGTTCTTTTCGGTTCGCTGCGTTCAATGGTTTCCGGGGTTTGTGTTGTGGGATAATCCAAGTACCACATCGGTAATACAAGGGAAGGAACCCTTGTATTATTTTCCACCTAGCCCTATTAGTACGAGGCCTTTTGGGGAGGATACCCAAGAGTAAATCTGAGAAGGCTTGGCCCAAAAAGCGAACAATATCGTAATAATTGAGATGCTCGGCTATGACAAGTGGTATCAGAGCCTGGTTCGGTGTGGGGAGGTGGACGTCATTTTGGTGGGACCCTCATTTGGTGGACCTCAGGAATTGAGATCTGTGCCTGGTTTGGTGGATCCACGAAAGATTCACGTCTGTTTGGAGGATCAAAGAGAGTTACGCGTCTGGGCTACATTTGGTTTGGCAGATCCAAGAGAGTTATGCGTATAGGAAAATCCTTGTACCGAGAAGCCATACAAGGTGTCTGGCGGATCAAGATAATCGCAGAGGAGAGGATGCGAAATTCGTGGTCAATGTCTTCAGGGAAGATTGTTATGGGACAATCCAAATACCACATCGGTAATGCAAGGGAAGGAACCCTTGTATATTAGTGTCCACCAAGTTCATTAGTACGAGGTCTTTTGGGGAGGATACCCAAGAGTATATCTGTGCGGGCTTGGGGCAAAGCGGACAATATCGTACTAATTGAGCTGCTCGGTTTTGACAATTTAAGGTACCGCTACGCCGGAAAAGGTATGTCATTTCTATCATGGGAGGAATCATTCCATAACCTTGGGTACTATAGGGGAATAAGATTCTTTAAGGAGAGACATTGAATTATGTCGGCTAGGACGTTTCACTACAAAAAAAGACTGTCATTAGTGACAAAAATTAGCGAGGGCACACCAAATTCGTCGCTAAACATGATTTATAGGGACGACATTCCACTTTCGTCAATAATGTTCCGTAAAAAATTATTTATTTGCGACAAAACCTATACATTGTCGGTAAAGACAATGATCTTTGTCACTAAGTCTACTTTCCGGAGGGAAAAATTGACGTCTCGGTTATTTGTGATAAATAAAGTTTGGACGTCGGTAATGTTTCGTCGAAAAAAAATGTATTTGTGACAACACCTATACCTTGTCGGTAAAGATAAGAATATTTGTCACTAAGTCCTTTTTTTGGAATGTAAATTTGGTGCAATGGTTATTTGTGATTAATAAAACTTGGTCGTCAGCAATGTTTCATCGAAAAATATGTATTTGCGACAAAGCAATACCACGTCGGTAAAACCCTGAATCCTCGTCACTAAGTTGACTTTTGGGAGGGAAAATTTTGCTTTATTATTATTTGTGACAAATAAAATTTGATCGTCGGTAATATTTCTTCGACAAAATATGTATTTGTGACTAATCCTGTACCTGCGTTAAAAAGTAGCCAAAAGAGAAAATGGCAGGAATTAGATAACAAAAGATAATTTGGTAATTATTTTATTTGTTTTAGTTTCAACCTCAATTTGCTTTACGGAGTAAGAATTTGAATTATGTTAATTTGTTTATTAATACTTACTAGGAATTAGCCCACGTTCTGCCGCGGGGTATGTTGATTTAAGTTATCAGTGTAAATGGGGACGTTAAACCGTGTGGTTTCCCAACCTACACCAATCATCATTGTTGATAAACCAAGAACAATAATATAGATAGATGATGCGCTGTAGCTAAGTGCACATAAAATGTACTGGAGAGGTAGTTTGTCAAGCAAAGAAGCCAAAGGCAGTACAAAATCATCTTGTTCAAATCCAAAAGTCTTTGCAAGCTAAATAAGCAAACGTGCACACTGTTTTTGTCTCCATGGAAGTTGGAGAACAGGAACTTAGTTCTAGAATGAGGATATTAGGGGCATATCAAGTGCACCAGCAAGTTTTTCCCTCATCAATGTAGACGATCACCTGTCCATTCTTGAAGTATGCCAAAGTGTTGCAACTCTTATGTGTGGTGGGACCGGTGAAGTTCTGTTTTCTAAATCTGAGCAACCGATGTATAGCTCCCCTGCAAACATTCTGCTACACTTTCTGATTAGCAATGCTTTGGCAGATTCTGTTTCGAGTTTTTTGTACTCGCTGGGTGACATTCCAATTATCGAGAGAGCGGCCTCATGGTCCAGTATGACATCAATATCATCAGCTCCATGTTCACACTTGACTTCTAGCTGATAGTGCAAGCTAGTTATAGATATAAATGAGAGTTTTGGT